AGGCTGTAGTTTCTTTTCATTTTACTACATGGGCAACATTCAAAAATTGCATTGATACATATGCTATAAATATTCTGAAATTGTTTCAATAGATACGCTATAATTACTTAGGCAATATGCTAAAGACAATGCCCTCTCTAATCCTATTTAAATTTCAATGTGTTTGTATCTATCGAGTTTGTATTTACCAAATAATTATTAATTTTTTTGACAACTCCCATACACAAAGAAGGAGTGTCAGCCCTATGATTTTATTATGAAAAATAATAAATTATTGAAGGAGGAGGACATTGACCTAAGATCCTGCACATGATAAAGATTGAATAAGTGAACATAAGGCATGCTAATATTATCTAAATGAACGAGTGCCTTAAGCTGAGAAGGAAACTTTGTATTTGATGAAAAATAAACTCTCCCTTAAAGGGAGGAGATGCTACTAAATAATTATTCCTTATCAAGAACGACATTTTCATGTGTAGATCGTTATTTTCAATCTCTACAGTTTGAGTTCACTATTTTTTGACTTCCATAAGCTTAAATTATTGATGATTGAACAAAAATTGTCCTTTTCCTTTAAAACCAATGGGTGGTGATACTCGATTAGAAATAAATTTTCTTTTTGCATGAAAGAAATAAGATTAAGTTCAATTGTTATGTATTCTAACAATTATTCTATTGTCTAACATTTTTTTGTTGTTCTACATTGGATTTGAAAACAATGTTTGTTCAGAATTTACTATTTCATTTTCTAGTTTTTTTGGAGAGAAAATTGTACCTTGCAGTTGGAAACATAGCTTACGCGTGCCTTGAATCAAAACACTTTAAGGATTTAAATAATATGTTAAGGCTCAACATATAAAAAGGGAAATCTCAATTGAAGCAATCATTACTTATGTGTCCTCCAAAAATCTATAGTTCAATTCACAATACTTTTAAAAGTTTTGAGACTAATCAAGCCACAACTATATAAAAGATAATTTCCAAGGAAAAAAACTACAAGAAAAGAAAATAGATCATCTAGATGAGTTAAAAATTTTTAACTTAGAAACTTTCTTAGATAATAATATCTGAAAGTTTTAGGTTTGATGCTCAAAAAAATAAAAAGGACATCTTAATAGAAGTAGTGAAGGCTTCCTCTAGTCCAATTTAGAAAACTTTAAGTGTTAAAAAAGTATATGATGTTTATCTTTTTCACTACTATAGAAAAAAGATATGAAAGGATGAAAAGGAAAAAGATCATCTAGAGGAAAAATTTATCTCAAACTACAGGTTTAAATATGTTAGGCGAATCAATACTAATTACTAAAACCACTTTTTCAAAACCTCAGTTATAATGCAAGCACAGCTAATTATGGGACCTATGTTGATAGTTTAATAACATGATATCATTCAATTTTTTACTGCCAAAATAGAGTGGGTCAATCACTATTTGTGATTATTAGGAAAAACCGTATTAAAAAAGTTATGGATAAAAGTTTTTGTTGAAGGAATTTGAAGTGAACCATTCCAATTCTCTCATTAATAATTCATCCAAATCATTCAGTTTCATACCTATTAGTAATATATGAAATTTTGAGTATGCAAAATTAATTAAAACTCCTTGTATAGTAGGCTTTGTTAAAGTGTTCCCCAATTAGGAGACATTGATTTAAACCAATTCAAAGTAGATATGTTAACCCTACAGATTTTTCTCAAATTCATTTTGGTTTTTTTTTTTATTTCTATATGCTTCCTTTAGTTTTTAGATTGGCCAATCACAATATTGAGTTTTAAAAAAATTATACGGACATACAAGGCTTGGACTTGAAGTCTCCTCTTTCCTCCTCCTCCCTTGAACCATATAAAGGTACTTGAGGGTACTTTCTAAGTTTATTCTTGATTTTTTTAATCATATAAGTGGGAAAACTTGAATCCGGAATCTCTCACTTTCATTCCCTCCCTCCGAACTGCTCAACCCATCCCTCATCCCAAATTTATTCTTGAATTATTAAATGGTTGGAACTTGAAATACTTTATTCACTAAGTCATCATGGCAATAGACTTTGTAGCTTGTCGAGTACTAAATGGATAGTTCTTTATTTTAAAAATACATCATAATAGCGGGAGAAGCAACAATCCTTTTTGGATTTGACCCTTACATATTAACTATACGAATCACTATTATCACTGAGAGATACAATTCGAGGAAATGGTTCCCTAAAGGGACCATAAAATTTTCTCATAATAACGAATACAACATAAAATATATTTCAATTAAAACACAAATATATATGCACATATAACCAAAAAGTACTGTACTGTGAAACTGCCGTGCACGTCAACATTGCAAATTAAGCTTGTAAGTAAAAATCTGGACAGGGTATGCTAGATGGAGGAATGATATCATCCTTCTTCATGCTTCATTTTTCTCCCCTTTAATATTGTTAACATCATTCCCTCCTATTTGATTTTCATTCCAATTAATAAAGCTCCCTGATTGACACCTTTTAATATTAAATAGTGATATATTTCTTTAGTTAAAAGTTATACCAATCCGTACTTTGGCTTGGTGATGAGGATAATGCTTAATTAGACAGAGCTTGCTTAAAGTTAATGATTGACTCACTTGGACTAGATTTAGACATGACGACTCATTCAATTTTAAGATAGGACTCTAACTAATGGAAATGGTTTCCAATAAAAAGAATTGCATAGTTGAAGAATAGTTAATTGAGTATTCTTAGAGAGAGGTAGAAGTTATTGGTGTTTTAGGCATTGCACTACGTTTGAACTTAAATATTGCAGATCATCACCTGGATAAATTACACAGGGGACATAAACAACAGAAATTTTTGGTGAGGATTCAGTGTTCCAGATGTGTTATATAACCTATTCTTTTTGTGGAAGGCATATTTGTGATTAGGGGTGCACCGAATACTGGAGATTTCAAGATGTAAGGCCATGTTATGGACCATAATATAGCACACAAAGGGATTGTTCTTGGAGAACAACAATTAGGATATTCAGGGGCGGAGCTAAGACAATAATTAGGATGGGCAACAATCCCTTGAATCAATAACATATGACTTAAGTTTTAATTCTTGTTATACAAAAGAAAAATTAGACAAAGGTTATTCTGTTATGAAATAATTAAATATTGTAGATGTCTATTACTTTTATCTCATTCCCTAAATGATGACAAGTCTTTCATGTTTTTCGAGATGACAAACTATCACCACTTTTGACGTGATAAAGATGGCACGACTTTTAATAAAGCTGCACGACTGTCGATAAAATTATTACGTCTTACGAGAAGATTGTATCACCATCTTAAAGAAGTTAGTTGTTGCACTTTCCCTTATAAATAGGGGTTACCCACTTTGTATCAAAGTGATAGAAAATTGAGATTTTATTTGAGTGAATGAAAGAATAATTGTTTTCTTACATTTCTCTTCTCCTGAACTTTTTAATTTTCTTGTTTTCTTAACATATTACTCACCACATAAATAACTCAAATCCTATATCACATTAGCATTAGTTTTATAACATATTCTTATGTTGTGCTTAATTTCAAAAGTCTTCACATTTTTTTTATTAAAACATTAAATATTCATTAACTTTCTATCAAATTCTCCATTAGAAATGGCACAACAAAGTCTGGAGGATCTCTTCACCAAAAGACATGATCACATCTGAATTTTGGATTCTTGGCTAGCATATGAGTAACTTTATTATGATTTCTACTCATGAAATACTAGATCCCTTTAAACTAGTTAATTCCCTCATAATATTCTCGCTTAAAGGGCCTAAACTAGATAAATCAATATCTATACTTGAATACCTAAATCGATTTATGACACCTTGTGCATCCCCTTCAAGCTCGGAGCCCTTGGCTTCCAATTGATAGCCTAACTGAAATGCTGCTGCTGCCGCTAACATTTCCACATGCTTCCAATCTTGAACTTTCTTTGGCAACGAGCATCCTACAATAAACGAAAATTTTATTTCTTCATATCCTTATTTATTCATGTGGTATTTTCACTATCCAAATAGGATAGTGGGAAATTTTTATATTTTTACGGGGGGCAATATGAGAGTAAAAGAAAATTTTACAAAATTCAAGAGGTCCAAATGTTAGATTAACTGAAAAATTATAGAAAGTTCTATGCCTAATTTCTAATTTTTGATAGTTGAGGATAATTGTCCACCCTCAACCATTTGGTTCCGCCACTTGACACACACACGGAGAAAGACACAGGAGAACCACCTTAGAGATTGTCATAGAATAGAAAGATTTTCCGAATTTGTTTTTTTATGTATTATTTGCTCTTGCTCCTGGGAGAACTGCAGATCTGGTTCTCAATCTTCAATCAAAGAAGCATCATAATAGAAAATGAATAGATGATTCTCTAAACTAAAAAGTGTAAATTAATCGAATTAGAAAAAATAATTCAAAACGTTTCTCACATTTTGTCAAATAAATATTTTCATTCTTCATTTTTAAATTTACATCCACTGCAAACTCAAATTAGCAAAATTTAATCCCAACTTAAATTTCTAACCACTTTTTAGGATAAAATCATCGCATGACCCACGTACAATAATTTTTTATATATAAAAATGTCAAATACCACTTTTTAAGTTGTAAAAATGATTAAGAATTGGACCAAATTCTAGTTTTTAAGAGGAAAAATGAATTGGATCATTTATTTGACTATAAATGAAATCTAAAGTTTTTACCCTGGAAAAAGACCTTATGTGAATCATATGATTGATTCATAATTAAAAGTAGTTGAAAATTTACATTAGGATTAAATTTTATCGACTTGATTTTATAAAGGATGTAAAATTACTATTTTAAAAGTGAAGGGCAAACAAATTCATGTAACAAAATATGAAAAATATTTTGAACGATTTTTCCATTGAACTAATAAGAAAAGATCCTAAGCTGAAATTGACAACCGATCTATGTTAAATCCTTATTTCTAATATAAACTGAAAGCTAATAAAAAGAATCTTTATGACTTAATTATTTGCTTTAAACAACTGAATATTTCTTATTTTAAATGTACAACAGACCAGCGAAGACTATAAATAATCATCTGAGAAGAAAATTACAATTTTTTTAAAGGAAAACTGATGCAAGCAAGTTCGAGTACAAAGGTTTTCATATAGAAAAACGCCTCTTATCCATAAATACTTGCAACGCATTTTCAATCTGTAAACTATTGTTCTACATGGATCCTTTACCCGATTTCAATGAGATGGAGGGGATGCAATCTCTCAGGTGGAGTTTAAAAGGAGTTGAAACTCATCGAATCTAAATTGAAACTTGCAACTGAGAAAGGAATACAGGCCAACCCTGATCTCATCTTAAGAATAACTTTTGCTCAATAGGTTCCAGCAAAAACTTGTCAGTGTCAACTCAGAAATCAGGAGCAACATCACTTTGGGCAAAACTCGAGATTACCAATAAAATAAGCAGCAGTTGCCTTAGATCCATCCTCTGCTTCCAGTTAATGAATTTATCATGAGTGTACTCCATGGATGCGCGCGTATGAAGACATGATATTTGTACTGCTCTTGCATGCTGACAGAAGGATGTGCACAATTTATTTCCTGCAGCAAACTTGAACCATTAGACAATGAACTCTTTTTCATCTCCTATTTTTCTAAATGCAGCTTTATTGTCAAATTTGGCAGTTCTGGCAGACGGCTGCAAAAGAATATACAAGTAATGCATTTGAACCTGTTCCTAGTTTTCAAATTAATCACCATATATATCTGGAAGCCTAATAAACATTTTCAATAAAAGATGCAAGACAATACACACTGTTCATTTGCATAATGAATTCGAAAAATTAAATCATGCCTGAAGGCCTTATAGTTGCAATTGGTAATGATGAGCTATGATCAAGACTTGCATGCTTAAAATAGTCGAACATAACAAGGTCTCAAATTTGCAACCAATATACCAATTCTAATAGCCTTGTTTCACATTGTGATCTATAACTGTAACAGCTACAATCGCTACTTAGGTACCATACCTGCAATTCAGTGAGGGCTATGAAATACAAAGAAACCATCAGGTCGATGCCCCCAGTGGAATTTCATTGAGTTGGAATATAGTATCAAAGGATTAATAACACAAGAAAGCTATAGTCAATAGTTAAATTTCAGCATTCACATTTAAGCCTAAGTGACTGGAGACGAACTGAAGTTATAAAATGGTATACATGCTATTAGGAACTTGGGGTTGTGAAAATTTCCTGCAACCATACTTTCATATGGTTTCTAACTTTTATGAGCCGCCAAAATATTGAAGAATATAGAACTTGGACTGGTGATTATTTGGGAAAATATATTCTTATTATTTCCCTAAACAAGTTTTCAGCCACCTTAATATCTCACGTCTTACATCACAAGAAGATCCAAAAGCAAGCTAAATGCCTCTAACATCTATTTGTACTATCTACTAGAGAAATACCAATCATAACTCCAGTTTAAGAATTGCTTATATATCAGCCAGCTTGCTGCAGCAAGAAATGCCAAAATATCTCTGCATTTGCCTTTTCCTTTTCCACTAGTACCAATTGGATCAACAAAATCACGGAGCCAAGGAATGGTATTTACGAAGTTAATTTTTTCAAGGAAAGATCATCAGATAATTTGCAGTGTTGTCATGCTGAAGTGCACATAATTTTTCATTGTCTGAGACATGCAACCTTCCCCAACACAATACAATTCCAACTAGTGTACAGGAAGCACTACTTAAGTTTATTAGACTACTTGGATTGGAATTTTCAATGACTCCTCATAACATAGTAAGTATTTAAATAGATGACTTCCAACCCATTAGGGTTCTCTTAACTAAAACCAGTTTTCTCGTGACACTGATCTTAAATCATTCAACTTGATCTAAATCATTTCTTATCCATATTCCAAGCGTTAAACTTAATTAGATATGTTCCTCACCATACAAAAGTTGGGAATATGCCAAAATTATAACATTATGCTCCCCAAGAAATATCTTCGGTTGGGAAGCAGTGAAAACAATACTATAAGAGGCAGGAATTATGAAAAACAGGGAAGACGTCACGTCAACTGGTAAAAGAAACCACATTTACAGCTTTTTGATACTTCGTCGCACCCACTTTTGGACTGTTTGAGTTCGTTCATGCCAGTAGAGAAGATAACATGGTCAAGACCGAGTTTTGCAATGGACTTGTAACGTAACAGGATGGAAAGAAAAAGGAAAAATATGACGGAGATGAGATATAGCACCTGTACATTGAATTATATTTAGGCAGAAAGAAACAATAATAGGATTTTGGCTGGTATCTTACTAGAAATAAGCTCAAGATTTTGTAAGACCATTTTGTGAACAAACAGAGTATTAACCAAACAATAGATTGTCTCCTCTTGCTTTTCAAGAAAAGTTTCTAGACGCAGAAAGAGGTTACTTGTTGCAGCTTCTAGTGTTCAAAAAATTATGTAGTCATAAAAGTAGAATAAAAAATGAAGAAAAAGGAAACAGATTATCACAGCACTGTTTCATTGGTGCCAATATAAATCACATACACACCATGGATATTGATGATTATATATTGTTTTAGTTGTTATGAATAAATTGAGTGATGATGGCACAACCACAGCATATTATTAACACATTCACCTGGCTGATTAGATGCTCTGTGAACAATGTATGGTACCATCAGTAAGAGAATTAAATATCAGCTGATTACTTAAAGTAATGTTCTTAATAAAAATCAGTAAGTAGTTGAGAAAATGGGAACCAGTAATCATCACAAATATTCCTTGTTCATAACAGGAGATGATATCAAAACACAATCAATCAGTTTACATAACCAAAGAGAAAGGACTACATTTTCTTAAGAGAATTGATTACTTTTGTTTCAGGGCTTTTTGTTTTCTTTTTTATTTTATGTTTTTAACCTTTCTGTTTATTTATCAATTTTGTTTTAATCTTTCTGTTTATCATCTAGTTTTAGCTTTTCTCTTCTCTAAATGGTTCCATTTAAGGCAAAAAATGAAAAACAAAGAAAGAAAATGATTTTGTAATGTAATTGTTTACTGAAAGTGATATCTTTTGATAAGGATGGTTCCCATACAATATACAAAAGAAATGGACGAAAAGAGATGGCTGAAGTGCATACCTCAGTTCTCAAGGTGAGAGAAAATCACACCCCAGTCACAGTAAAGCCAATATGAATTTGAAGGTTATGCTAATTTACTATCCACCATTGGCCTCTCCATTTATCACAGCTCCATCTGTTTTGCTGGCAAGATTAACAACTTGTTTACTGCTGCTCTTCTTGGGCCTTCCTTTGTCAATATGAGCTCCATCCTTGTCTGAGACGACAATTTTCTTCACAAACTTATCTTCTGAAACCAATTTATTCTCTACTGGCTTACTTTTTCCTGGGTTTGGAAGTTTAATACCCTTGGCCAATTCAGCATTCTCCACTGGTAAAGTATCCTTTACAACTGTTGCTGCTTTCTTAGGTTTACCCTTATCAACAGACTTTTGAGAACTTGTAGTCTCTTTTAAGGGGTTTCCCTTATCAGGATCTGGAAGTAAAGCACGGCGACTTAAACGAAGCTGTCCTTTCTCATTGACCTGTAATTGAGTCAAAAGTTATGGATACTCTTGAATTGCACATAAAGCACTTTAGAAAGACTCTTGAAGTATCTGTCAAAACAGTAGATAACACCAAAAATCATAATACCAAAGACGTCCAAATGTGCAATTAAATGATAATAAAGTTAGATTTTTTGTAGTCAATATTTTAATTATGGAATATCGATAAAATCCATCTTTAAGACGCCAAAACTCAGGTTTCGGCCAAGAGCAGCTTTTTCTATCACTTGCGTAGCTAAATAAATCAACACCATATTAGACATTATTAGCGGCTCTTCCGTTGATTTGAACACAAAATTAGCTATAATCTATGGGAAATTGCAGTCATTCTGAAATGCAAAACATCTGTGACCGATAAAAATATCCACATTTCTAAGCAGATCATTAGAACATGAAACTTCTGCCCCCTTTAAACAACTAACCTCTTTGTAGTCACCGGCTGAAGCATCTATGATAGCATATCAAAACACTAAGGTAGGCTTGGTCTATGAGCCCACTCCTAGGCCATGCAGTATAGTCCAAGCCATATGGTTTTAATGATGTAGGATGATGTAAGAAAAGTAATGATGAGTAATGTCTGATGATGCAAGAAAACACGTCAACAGTTGGGCCAGTAGACCAAGCCTACCTGAGTATTTGCCCAAAACATGAAGATTTTTGCCCCCTCATACACAAGTACCACCAGGAAGGTGGGTGGAGGAATTAATTTAGTAATTATGAAGCTTGATCCAAATTCAAAAAAAAAGGACCTTTTTCTGCAGGTGAATGTGGTATGCCAGGTTAAGCTCTCCCTGAGTTAGGTATATCAAGGCCCAAAAGTTGGAACAGTATATAAGTCAACTCAGATAGATCCTCAACTTATCCATATAGAAACTTATGACCATTAGACGTATATAAAACCAAAATTCTGTAACTTCAAATCAGAAAGCAGATTAACAATGGGGAAAACATTTCTGCAGTTGATATGACACAAGGGAGAGGGAATTTCCAGACCTCAATCAGCTTCACATCAACTCGGTCTCCAACTTTGACAGCCTGAAACAAGTTTAACAATGAAGAAACTACTATATTGTATGCTTCCAGAAATGATGCACCAAACAAAAGGCTAATTAACTCACATCTTCTGCTTTACCCAGCCAACTGGCACTCAGTTCACTAATGTGGCAGAGCCCCTGGCAGAAAAATGGAAGCTATGAGTCCTAAAAGCATTTTGCTTTTGCAGTATTTTCTCTAGTTTCCTAGGAGATACATGCATTTCCCCGTAAAAGATCATAGAAAGGAATCAAGAATACAAGATATTCCTCCCCTCTGAGCTTAAAAAATGTCCTTCATCTATATATGACACTATTAATTGGTGAAGCATATGTTTATCTTAAGATTCTCCATGGCATCAGTTTATGCCGTAGTTTTCCCTTTCTTTTTCAAGATGGACATTTTTAATAATCTTTTTCTTTTGTGCATGTATAACCATAATTGAAGAGCCACTTGCCTTTCTAACGTCACTTGTTTTCTTCTTGTGCAGATTCAAGTGCCACTTCATTAGCTTTCTCATTTACATGAAAATAGCTAATTTCACATGGGCTACACTTTTGGCCATTTTGACAGTCCCTTGTCAACATAGGAACTTCCAAATATGTGCAAACTGTTTAACAGTTTTGGCCATTCTTGTCAATCTCTCCTTCTCTTGCTGTCCTATCTACAAAATTTCATATATGCAGGCTATTGATAGAAAATGATTTAAACATACTTCATGTCTTTTGCCCAATATGAAATCAGATAGCATTCCACACATGGAAACTGATACTCTCTGAGTCTTCCTTTGTTTATCTTATAAGGACTAGATGGTTAGCGATTGCCTTGTTTTTGCTACATCATTTTACATGCATTTTGTTGCCTTTTCTCTCTGACATTTAAGTACTTTCCTTGTCTTTTGTTACATATTTAGTTAGAGAACAATGTTATGCAAAGCATGCAACTTCTCAAAGAGAATCGCACTCTATATAGGTAAATGATATGTGTGTTTGAAAAGAATGGTGTGAGAGAAGCATTACAAATATGTACCTCCCGTCCAGGTGCAACTTCAACAAAAGCTCCATAAGGAGCAATGGATTTGATTTCACGGTTCCTGAGTGGAAAACATAGAAACATTATGATATAATGCAAGTTTTCAACAGCTAAGTAAATTGATGTCCTAAGAACTAAGATGAACAGGAGTCAGTGACAACTTTGAAGATTAAATACACAGCAACTACAATAAAATAAAGACACTTCTATATGTAAGAATTAAAGAACTGAATTTGGTCAGAAGATATTTACTGCCAGTACCATTCAAACAAAGCAAGAATGATTAAGAGAAGTTGCTTGCCAGGATAATAGCAGAATAGATAATGGAAAAGTCTTTGGAAGACACCGCAATTATAAACAGAGGACGAAAGGAAGAGAAGTTACCTATAAATATCCCCAACAGTTGGAACCATTGTAAGATTGCTAATTATGGCTTTGGACTTTTCCAAGCTGGATAAATCTTTGGCAGTTATTTTCACCTGAAAGGATAATGTGTAACAAACATTAATAGCACAATGAAGGAATCAAAAGAAGATTAGAAAATGCCAGGAGAAATAGAAATTTGATGACAAAGTGGTATATTGGCTTACAGTTCCATCATCCTGTGCGTCAATAGCTTCAACCCCAGTTTCCTCAATAATGCTCTTCACCTTCTTACCACCAGAACCAATGATGAGGTTAATCTTTTCTGGTTTGACCTGTTGAGCATTCAGAAATAAAGAAAACATCAGATTCAACTCATCCTATCATTGAACAAATTGCATATAGAAAAGATAACAAACCTTCATAACATGAATTATTGGAGCATACTTGGAGAGACTTTTTGAAGGAGGAGGGCAGCACTTTGACATTTCAGCTGAAGCAGGAATAAAAGTGTTTAGTTGAACAACAAAGGAGAAGTGAGTCCTTGCAAAGATAGAAGAATCCTAAGAATTCCTACAGAACAGTTTTTTCTGAAGAGAAACCAAATCCACAAAATATTCAAGATCTAAACTCTACAATCGGCATTGTGTTTGTAAAAGCTAACAGAGAATTAAGCGAAATACAAAAAGTCAGTATCAGAACTCAGTAATCAGTAAATATATAGAGGATAGAGAAAATATAGGAAGCATTAATACACTGAACAGAGGATAATTCCAGTTCACAAAAATTCATTGACTACAAAATGCAAACCACTCGAATATAAATAAGATCAGTACCAAGTCACTGATGCAAGACACATAACATAATTAAAGACAGCAAACCACAACTTGGATGCTACATTGTTAGAAAGGGTTGGATTCACAAACTCAGATGCTACATTGTCAGAAAGGGTTAGATTTTCCCCATTATGTGGCTAATAGCTACATAGTTTCGATTAAGTACCGCATCTCTAATACAGAAACAAAAGTATCAGGATGCTAATGACATCATCTTTGCGACTCTCCTCAGTCCAGGACATATATACCTAAAAATTTACTAGGGACCAGAGAGTGAGTTATATTCCTCTACTCCATTAATGCTCTGTGATGCTAATTTGAAGTTAAAATGTTATAATCATTAACTTTTATCTCCTCTACTAATACTGCAAGTATCCCACACTGGATGTGAAAGTAATGCTTAAATATAAAAAGTCTAATAGATTGGCTTATGCATTTTGGGACATTAATAAAAGAAAAAAAAATTGTTAGCTAGTGCAGTCCACAGATATTAGATTTGGTATCAATTTCATACCTTATTTAGTAAGAATATTAGGAATTAAGTGCTCCAAAGGACTACAGCCACAATGTGCACGGTGGAAACCACCTTTTGAACACCTACAAACAAACTATCAAATCTAGACCACCTTGCATGGTCCTAGAACGCAATTAATTGGACTGAATGTAGCAAGGCTTCTAGGGCCTTGGACAGGCGCAGTCTTGCACACTGCCTTGTGTGGTCATTTGGAAAATGTCTAATACCTATTACTTCTGTATTCTAAGTTACAGTGTTCTTTACTTCTTACCTTTTTACCAAGAATACCAGTTCGTTTCCTTTAGAGAGTTCTGTACTTTCTTATTTTTTCTTCTAAAGCATAATGCTTTTAACTTGCTACAGCTTACCAAGAATGGTAAAATTGGTACTGATTGTTCAGCTGCTACCTGTTTCCAACATTGCACTCACAAGAATTGCAAAAACATGTACCTGCAGTCACAATCCATACTAACTATATAAGTCATATTTGCATTTCTCATTGTGCCAAGTTGGTAGTGACAATGTGTCAGGACATGCAACACCAATGTCAGAGGTGCTTCCCAACTTCAAGTTAGACTAGCCGAAAACCAGCATTAACGTGGCGTGAAACTGAAAAATAGGAACAACTCGGTAAACAAAGAAGCCCAAGAATTTTCTCCTTTGGGTTCCCAGGCCCATACTGGTATAATTCTTTATTTCAAGTCATGTTTGGTGGTATAAAATAAGTACCAGTGATGCTCTTTCTAATAAGTAGCCAAGACAATGTCACTTAGGCTTGCTTCATAGTGAAAAACAACCAAAGTGTCCATAAAATATGTAAGGCTTATTTAAAAAGAGATATACCTCATTGTGGAAGTGACTTTTTGCCAGAAATAGCATTTGGTTTTTAGAAATAGCAGCTGGTGTTATTCCTAGTAAATTCTAGGTGCAAATCCTGGGTTGTCTTTACAGTACCTAGTCCTGTTCTTGCAATTTCAAGATTAAATAAACTCTTACATCATTAAATTCATGAAGAAACACTGCTTCAAATGAGTTCAACTTATGTCAAATAAAATATGTACTTGCAATCCTTTATCATTATTATTCCTACAATACTCGTATTTGCATTTCTCTTCAGGCTTCTGTTAGAGTATTCTCACCAACTACCCATCTACAAAGAATATTAAAATCGGACCAGATTCTTTTCCTTCACATTAGTAACATTGAAAAAAGTACAAGCTGTTTCACTGTCAATCGACCATAGAAGCAGATATTACTTGACAATGAAGTTTACCAAGGATATGTTTTCGACCATCTCTTGCTTGCAGGAGAGCCCGCTCCATGATTGGTAAAGTAATCCCTCCTACCTACAGTAGAGAAATTGAACTAGGATAAAACATCTGAGACTTTTAAGTAATAAGAATAGACAATGTGCCATCACCAAAGAAAACATCGTAATATTTGGCGTCAATGAAGAAAAATGCAGAACTAGATAATGCAAAGATGTATACAGAATGAATAACTTGTCTGAGAAATATATACGGCTGAAAATAGAACATCACATTACCTTGATGTCCAACTGGAATGCAGTTATACCATCATTATTTCCAGCTACCTGTAGCATTAGATTACAGATTACCATGATAAAGGTTCTCTTGCTCTGAAACTTCAAAACGTGACAGTAAATTGTACCGTCCTATTTGTTCATTCATTACTTTGTCACCTTGTAAATGAAAAATGAACAATGCAACAGAAAGCTATCCAACAAAAATAACCAAAAAAAATACAGAATACATTGGATCCCTAGAGATAGAAGACTTAAATTGAACAAACCTTGAAATCCATATCTCCAGATGCATCTTCTGATCCAGTTATGTCAGAAAGGATAAGTGGAGTTCCATCTCCGCCAAATTCTTTTGTGTCCAATACCATACCCATTGCTATACCAGCAATAGAGGACTTTAGTGGAACACCAGCATCTTGCAAAGCTAAGCAACCACCACACACTGATGCCATACTGTAATATGATTTAGGTCAATGAATGGGATATAACAGTAATTAAGTGCAGAGGAACTTCTTACGTTGAAGAGACAATCTGCAGAACTCCAGAAAGATGAAATAGATTTTTCCACAAATATTCAAGCATACAAAAGAACTTCAGACAGAAGATCTTGTATCACTCATCAAGTGACTGCTTTACCTTGACGAGCCATTGCTCTCAGTGATGGTACTCTCAACACGTATGGTATAAGGAAAATCATCCTCAGAAGGCAATATAGGCTCTAGAGCTCTCTCTGCCAGCACTCCATGACCAATTTCTCTTCTAGATGGTGCCCCCACCCTCCCAACTTCACCAACACATGAGGGTGGAAATGAGTACTACATGAAGCAGCAATAGATTCATCAGATAAGTTTTCAAGTCATGCCAAACAAACAAAAGCAATGGCGCTAAACTTCTAAACAAAAATTTCCAATTAGCAGCTATTCTCAGTAGTACGACCGAGTACAAACTAGGTAGAAGCAGATTTGTACAGATAACACAGAACTTGCAATGAACAACGTAGGATCTAATTTAGACACAATACAAATAAATATATAAATAAACTAAAAACTCATCTCTGTCATAGTATAAAATGCAGTCCTGTCGAGGAACACTGCAATGCAATCAGCACCAACCTCCCAATACGGTTTTTATTCATTGAAAGGAAAAAGATAGAAAGATGGAAGAAAGGGAAAAGAATAGGTGAAGCGAGATTTGGGCTTTGGTAAGGATGATGCATTAACAATACAACCTTGGATGAAAGCCTAATTACCCAATATAAAAAGATTGAATGCTTTAGCCAATTTAGAAAGCAAATATATCAAGATTTCAGCTCTCAAAGAACTTTAGTCAAATGCAATATGAATGGTAGAATATTTTATGCTCACGATGTTCCAGAAAAGAGAACAATTCTGCTGGATGTAGATAAATATTAGAGATGGATTCACCACAAGCTCAACTGTACAACATACAGGCAACAAAACCCCACCTGAAGATAGAATCTCTTGAATTCTTCCACATCCACAAGATTATCAATCTTTTGTGCCATTTGTTTATCACCAAGTGTAGCAACAGCTAGTGACTGTAAAATAGACAAAAAAGAATGATACCTCTAGGATAAGCTTCAATGGAAGAAAGAGTACACTGCCTGAAGCTTAGCTTCACATCAGTCATCAGAAATTGTACATACCTAATACAGTAGTTCTAAATCCTTGTCCTCATACCAAGAACAAATCGCATAACGTTTAGTGAAAGTACAGTATACAGATATACAAGCTTCAAAGTCAACTTTCTGGAAAGTAAGAAATTTCTCCTAGAAGTGGGTCTGTCTAGCTTGTTTCAGAGGTTCAGCTGGGTGATTAAAGCATCTCAGCTATAAAATTGGCAAAATTTGATTATCTCCTGTGGAAGATATGTACGCAGTTGAGTTTAGAAATTTTACAAGAATTTTATCACAAAAGATACTTTTCCTCTATTTTTACAATGTAAGGCTAAAGTTGATTCTGAAGTCATTGAAAGATGGGGACCTCTTATAAGTGGCTCCCATTGGTGAATACATACAAGTAAAATGAAACAAGTGATTAATATTATTTCGAAAGAAGATTCATGAATAGGAACACAAGATTGAAGGCATAATTGTCATAATTGTCAAGTAAAGCTTCAAGTTATTGAGCTCTAGAGTTGCATATAGGTTATGAAGAAAAGGATTGCACAGAGATTACATATGGACGATAATCTTATTAAAAAACAAAAAACTGCAGGATACTTGAAGAATAACCCCATAAAAAAAAATTCTCAAATGTATACAATAAGAGGCTATTTAATAAAATAAGGATGCCGATGACAAACTCGAAAATCAAACAGAAAAATATAATGAATTAGTCATATTTGGGAATTATACCCAAAAAATCACAGTTAAACATAGTAGACATACTCTGCGTAACTAATATTGGAAGTCTGAAATAGGCATAGCAGATATTAACAAACCATGTCAACATTTACATCTGAGGTTTCTGACAATTGCAGCCACCTCCTTTGAGGTTTGAAAAATTACACTTACCACCCCTGAAGTTATGAAAAGACTATAATAGCCTTGACAACTCTACAAATCCTAAGTGAAAAGTGGGTGTAAAGAAAAAAAAAGAAAACCGCATTTGCAAATATTTCTTTATCCAAAAGCTCTAACCTAGGTCATTTAAAGGGACTTCATGCTTAGTTTTATAATTAGCAAACTAGTAGGGATGCATTTGTTAAAAATAGTTTCTTCACAACTTACTTAGCAAAGGAAGAAAAAAAGAAAGTCCAAACATTAAAAAATGATGCCTTGAAACATGATCTAAATTTTACTCCAAAGAACTACCTTAAAATTTTCACTTAGCAAGTAATGCTGATATTTGATTTATTTTGTCATTTAATTTTTTTTTTTGTAAATCAAATAGGGGCAATATAGGATATTCATTAGACTGTTTGTGCTTACATCACCATTTGTTACCAAAACATACTTTCTAGGAGAGATTTCCGTAATTTTTCAAACCTCAAGGTTGGTGGCTGTAATTATTACAAACCTCAGGGGAGATTTCTGAAATTATCCCTCATTTAAATGACCTAGTATTTTGATCTTTGAACAGGTATCAGGTTGGTATAACATTATTGAAATTGCCATGGCCAGTATTTTGCACATTAGATCTTACTACCACCCAAAGATTTCACCGAATTAATTTAAAAGCACATATATCCAATTAGATATACGTCAACAAAAACCTTTAACCTTTTGGTTTATGATTATCATTTGAGTTCCCAATGTTTTTGCAGAAGCTGGCCTTGAATAAGAGGTTTAACTGGTCAATCCACAATAGACGCATAAAGAGAATCTAATGAAGAATATCCAGTAAAGGAGCTCTATAATCAGAAACTGAAAAGTGTTACTGGAAGCACTTCAAAAACATCATATCAAAATACAGACAAGCATTTGAATGAGTAGAATGCAAAAAAATCTGAGGAGCATTAAGAGCCTTAAATATGGTAAAATTATTCAATGAAGTTCTAAAATAAAAAAGGAAGTATTTTAAAAAAAAAAAACCTGTGTTTCTCCACGTGTAAACAGTGCACTCCCATGTACTCTGGGAAGTAGTCCGCAAGATGAGTTTATTGGCCGTACCTCACAAGGTGCTCTGCCATCACTTCGTTTTCCTCCCTGAAGCACAAAAAAAGGATGTAACAATACATGTAAATAAATGTTAATATTAATGACAATAACAATAAATACAGTAAAAAAATAAATAATTAAAGGAGAGAGAGAGAGAGATGAGCCTAAATTTGGTTGCAATGGACTGACACCAATCCTAGTAGCTGAAGACAATTCAACCTCGCACACAAACTACTTGTTAAATGGATGTTTGATGCTACAAACAAAAACCCAAGAAGAGCCACCAAGTTCTCTGCAAATAAACTAAAATAACTAATTTATCCTGCATACCTCATGCCATTGAACTCCATGTCTTCCTTAAAGCCCACATCTGTCAACCCTCCCATCCATACCCCCTCATAAGTCGTTAACCTCTGTATCCTTGAATGCTATAAATTGCCTGAGGAGTTTGTTTCTCAACTTTTAGCATTTCTCTGGATTGGAAGTATTTAAGATGGGAAAAACGAATGAATGATATGATCAGAGTTGTGCCTTTCTGAAGGCTACAAGTCATGTTCAGCGATGTAACTTTACAGAGAGTTCCTGTGCTACACCCATGAACTGCAGTTTTACAATTTAAGCCTCCTACAATTCCCAAACTGCAAGTTTGATGGAAATCCCATTAAACATTCCCAGACACCTTCTGTGTCTATGTTTCAGCATACTCCGTTTTATTAATATCTCAATTTATCATTATTTATTCCATAAGAATTGACTCATTTGCATACGTAATATACTAATTTCCTTGTTCAACTTTTCTAAAAGACCAAACTTTCCCAGGTGGACAGTAGTCATACACTAACATGCTTCAGAAACAAATACAAACTCTCTCTCTCTCCGCCCCATACAAACACACTCACAAAAAATTTACTCTAGAAAATTCAACTGCATTTACGTACTTATTCTCATCAAAACCATGTCCATGCAGCAGCAAGCTTTAAGACCATTATTATGGTGAACTATGTTTCATCATAATCAATTGGGGGCCACTCCATAAAGCTCATGTTACTTACTTTCCATGTTTTTGCTATGGGCAAAATGTGAAACTTGTCTATCAATAGCAAAAAGAAGAACATTAACTTATTTTCATACATCAATATTGCTTCATAATCGGCTAAGACAAACAGATCAGATTTAACAAAAACATTGTGCCTTATTTTGCTGATCTTTCAAATAATTATCTTTTAATCAAAGCCAAAAGGAAAAGCATAGTCAAAGGACTTGTTCTCAACTGTTTGTAAAAGCTGACTTTGTAGAATTGATTCTCGAAAATTCAGATTTTCCAAAATAACTCAATGTTTTGCCAGTAAACAGTTAAAAATTCTATTTTAATGAACGCATGGGTGTTCTCAAAACAAGTGGACAAGCTGATTTTGACTATTGAATGACCAAATTACCCTTATGTGCTGCACAAATGGACTTTTATGCTCATTAAATAAATTTTTGATGTAATTAGTTACTTATGGAGATTCAATCTTATCATTAATAATGCATTTTTTTTAGGCATTAACATTGCAGTTAATCTCACTAACTAAATAAATGATTTCAAATTGAAAACGAAATTCCAAGATATCACGAAAGAAGTTCAATAACTGAAAAAATAACAAATACTATGTGGCCTTTAGTTATTTTAGTAATTACGTCAAACTGTTAAGGGGATTCTTGTCTGGACGAAAAGTTAGCCTAGAATCAAAATCCAAAAGCAGCTCCGAACCTGCTTCTGATTTTCAGGTTTTTTGGGCCCAAAAAACCTAAAATCAAGATGTCAAAAGCAATTGAGATCACAATAAGGTAGCTTTTTTTAAAAAAATCAAAAGCTAAAATTAGGTTTCCAATATCAGTTGAGAACAGGGCCAACATTTATCAGAGAAGGAACTTAAATTCATGTTCATTTTCAACATAAAATATCAGCAAAAGTGACTGCATGCATGAGAAGGTGGATCGGTCAACCAAAATTTCAGAAAAAAAATTAGTCCAGCATCTTGAGCAGATTTGTGGACCAATCTACAACAATTCTTAGAAACTTAATCAAAACCAAAGAGTGGAATCTACTAGTAGTTCCTTTGCCTGAATACATGAAGAACTCAAATTTCCTAGCCAGACCCTCGAAAATTTACAATCATGGTTTCTCACAACCAACTGAGCCCAATCAGTAGTAATGTCTATAAGGACAGCTCCATCAAAATTAATCTTCATATGACCATCTGGCAGCGGCAGCCAATCAGATTTAGTCAATTGAGTAACACCCATCAAATTAGCTCTGTTATACTCAGCTAGGGAATACAATCACCAAAATAACAAATTTTTTATTACGGTATTCTAACAACCATTCAAGCCAAACTCATTACTGAAATCAGTCAAGACCACCATGAAAGTCCATATAAAGCCACGGAGACAATGAACCAATATTCAGAAAGAAATCCTGAAGTCTTCTAGGATACAAAATGGAGCTTCACCACAGAATGCCTTCCTGTAGAAGGAAGGGTGTAGAAGGTATTGAGTAAGGGAAGGAGGAATGTCTTGCGGGTCAAAGAGGGAGCAGAAGGGCTCTGGTTTTGTAAGGTTGGAGGGTGGGGCTACGAGGAGGAGAAAGGGAGGATGAACTAGTGGAGCAGTGGAGGACAGACGAGGACATGGACCAAAGCTGACAGGGAAAAGCAAAGAAACAGAATTGCAGTGATTGAGTTTCGAATTGTGAAATTCATTGAAGTTCATTGCTTACGCATAGTTTGGCAAACACTTGTTTGTTAAAGAGCCAAAAAGAAATGTTAATGTTTAGCAGATAGCCTCACTGTAGAAACATTAGAAACATTTTTTTCTTTTCGAAGCTTTGAACAAATACTAAGGTACAAATTTTTATAAAAAATTCTATAGATGGAAAGTAAAAAAAAAAAATAGATCAGTAAGCATGGCAAAACGGTCCTCAACATCTTGTTACACCCATTACAAGAAGAGGACTCCCTCCGTCCAAGTGAAATCAACATCCATACCAATTTCTATATGTTCCTAATTTGTTGTCACATACCCACAATGGCAAAAAATTTACGATGCAAAATATATTTTTGAAAATTAGAAGGATAAAGTCGACTTTCATCAGATTAGGAAGACAAGGTAGATTAGGATGCTAAGAATTAGTTAGAATTTAAATTAAATTAGACCCTATCTCATAGATTCATTTCTGTAAGTATTCAGGTTCAGTATGTGCAATTTAGTTTGGAGATCTAATAAAATAATCATTTCTTATTAGTTCTTCAACTAGAATTACTAAGGGTGTCCACTAAACCAGCCCCCATTTTAAGTTTCCTACTGATTTATCCTAAAAACCAAACCTCTGATCATGGATCAAAGTGAATTTCTTTTTTCTTGTGCTTCCAACTGCACCAACTTATTCACCAATTTCCAACTCCTACCCTTAATTTTACTACTCTTTATCAAAATTAGTGGGCCCATTAATTTTGCTTCGCATGAGATACACTGCACTTTCATTGTTCCTTGAATGGTAGTCTGTGTAATCACTACAAGAATCTGGTCCAAAATTTTGGATGGTAATGACAAAATAGACAGGGCCTACATGTAATGATGATTGTCACATTTGTCAAGTATTACACTGAACAATGACAGGTCAATGCATACTTATGTGGGCAACATTGGAACATCATATAAAAGACACCACCATCTTTCATAAATAAAAAATAAAAAAAGATGAACGATTAGAAAAGGGGACAGAGGTAAGAATTGGCACAGAAAAGGTTAATAGTGATAAGATCTCAGGCAACATCGGTCATTGAATAAGATCAAACCAGATATAAGAAAGAAATCTTTTTGCTATACAACATAGTAAATGTGTTGCTGAATATTTTAGTCCACCCAAATCGTACCTCCACAATTCGCCTGCGGAGAAACTTTGATGTAACTTCTTTGAAAACAAGCTTCACATCTACCTCTGTAAAGAGCTAAAAATGGAAGAAACAAGAAAAAGCAAATGAGCAAGTATATCAACCCAACTAGACCTGTTACAAAATGATCCAACCCTTACAATTGAAAAATCAACTTGATTACAGCCCTAAAACAGATGCCTGAAAGCATTAACTTACCCAATAAATCCAAATTTCACCATAAAATATCCAGTAAATGATGTTTCAGGTGTGTACATTGTCTCAGTTATCAGAATTAACAGAAAATTAGCCAATATTAGGATTCTGTACTTAATAAATCAAAATGAAATAAGCCGACGCATGCTTAAATCGACAAGTATAAGATCATTGAAAAAAAATAACCTTATATAAACAACTTCCTGGAGAATAAATAAGTCTTCTAAACTTGGGTTGGGTTCAACTCTCATAAACAAAACACATTTGCTGTTGCAACTACTTTTGTACACATCCAATCAAAGTTATTCAAGAATGATTCCCACAATTTCATGTTGAATTCTTATGGAAGATGAATACAATCCACTTGTACATCTTGTTATTGACAATTCATAGATCACCCAGTCATCCTAGAAAGATGGTACCAGATTTGAACAACAAAGTGCTATTGGTCTAGTGATGTCCAAGTAAAATGTGACTACCTTCTACTCTATCATTAATAGGAGGGAATACGTGTATCACCTATTGGCTATACACCAACGAAAACCATGAGCTCAACATAGTGTGAAGACCATCCCAGAGGTTATTCAACTACTCAAACATTCCTATTCATATGTTTTTGGTAATGTGTTCACACCACAGTTAGTATTTTGATGACAATTTTTACACAATCGTGTTTTCTGAAAAAAGTTGCCTTGATTTCTTATGCACATGCTGTTTCAAAGTCTCATTTTGAAATTTTCATTTAAACAGAACTTTTTGAAGATGCCAGCAACTTCTGGAGGTGTAAGCTAAAAAAGGAGAAGTTTACATAACAATATACAAATCCAGATGGGACACCATTCTACTTGACCAAGCAATTTTTTTTTTTAATTAGCATCTTTAGATTTGAGTAGATTTTTCAAAAGGTCAAATATGTTTCCCTTGACCTATAAATTGGTAACAACATATAGTTCCTATAAATTGCTGCCCTTATCTGCATGGTTTAGTAGAAATTTACTACATAAAGTACCCTGATGGCATGGTAAACTATCTGCAGAAAAGGAAAAATACAAGAAAAATAATTAAAAGCCTAATAGACACATCCAGCAACCAATGAACTAATTAACACAGAGTTTAATCCCTATTAATATTCTCAATTCCATTTTTTTGTAAGAGTAAACTTCAACAAGCATCTTTAGCATTTCCAACATTGCTTCAGATAGATAAAATTTTCTTTTCCCTTTCTGATAAAAATGGGGCTAGTGGGATTTAACTTGGCATCTATGGCATCAATCATTCCAGAAGTTTTAACTAAACCGGCCAATAAATGTATGTCATGGATATCTTCCTAAATCTCAACCACTTTGATGCCTAGGGGCGATCTCTTTTTTGTCCAGAGTGGTTGTAACCATTTTTGTTACTAACTCTTACAAACAGTCTTTGGTCATGTTACATCTTGTTTTCAGTACCATTGGATGTGTTTAATCAAATCTTAGGGATATCCTGTTATTTGGCTAATTTCAGCAGATTGATGTAAGATCTTTACAAAGGTTATCCATAGGCAAACTTATATTGATTTCTAAGTTACTTCAAAGTAGTTTAGCTAATTACTTAGCTATATTTTGTTGCTTAAACTAATGAGTATCAGTTTTAAGAAATGGAAAAACAGGTAAAACAATATCAACTTGAGGAGCAAAACAACTCGTGTCTTAGTTTAGCATAAAAGCAAATGGTTTTTCTAAGCCAAAAGTAGAATGCTGATGTGGAAAAATGGACAAATGGACCTCCATTGATGACAAAGAATAATTAGGATAACCAACCTAAGAATCTCAACAATTCAAAAAAACTGGCAAAAGGTAAGTTTTTTGCTCAGCTACCGCACTTGGTCAACAGGGATCTTCACTTAGATAGGCTTGGCCTTCTTTTTGTATTTTGTGATTATTGTACTTTTGCTATGGAGTAACAGTCATATCCTCCTCCTAGTAAATATTTTAAATATTAATGAAATATAGGTCTGGCCATCCTCCCCCGTATACAGGATTTTGCCAAAAATAAAGTTTTGTAGCTGAGGGTTTATTGAGCAAATCACATCATTGGTGCAATTTAATTTCTAAATTTTAAGTTGATGTTTGGGGAAATATTAGCAGGATTGACTAAGGTGATCCTAGCAAATGATCACCATCAAAACTAATTCAAATTCTAATAAAAGACAAAAGGTTTAAAAAGAATAATAAGCAACGTAAAGCAGAAAACTTAAAACTTCCACCATCAGGCAAATCTGGAAATAACTTAAAAAGCAAAACATGTTTAAAAGTGTTTAAAATTTGAAAGGATGAAAATAGGGAGAAGGAAGAGAGAAACAAAGCAAACTGGAAATGAAGACAGAAAAGCTGAACCCTACCAAGGGAATGGATTTACGAGACACTAGCTTGATGTGAACATCACCTTCATCAACTTCACCTTCCACAACCACTTCCTCATCTTCCTCCTCATCCTCAATTAAATCTGGTGTCAACTCGGTAGAAACAATGGCATCAATCTTGCTAATGTAACCTCTCTCTGTTAGTATACTCAGAACCTTGTTTTCTAAATATGATAAAGCCTTTCTTCTTGGGATCTTATTTTTAATTTGTAACACTTCCACCAATTCTTGACCTGCAATATCCTGAGCAGCACACAGAATTTGTACATTATGATAGTTACATCTTGTATTAGATTAGAGCACCAAAAGAATGAGGTCATCATCTGAGAATGATGGATATGCAATTTATGTGAAATGGCAGGTAAGAAAAAAATTACACAGATGGAACTCTGCAATGAACAGAGGTGCAGTGCAAAAACCATTGTTTTGAGATGTGAAAAGTAAAAATCATTTTGATCTAAACATCCACCACCCCTGCAAAATTGTCATTTTTAGCACTTACTCCACAACCAGTTAATTTACTATGTATTTCTTCTTATGCATTGAGGTCACACAAATACAAACTTAAGAACTCCACTTGCACGAAGATCTATCCCAGATAACTTCTCCAATAATAACCAGATGTATGTGTCCACACATATACATACATACATACATACAGAAAAAGTATATATAAATAATATATACAAAAAAAAATAGAAAGTGCTTACCATCGACTACTCTCTGTCTAACGGCCATAGGCACTGCCCATAAAAAGTTCTTGCACTATTGGCACACAACAGAACATAAGACATTTCATGACAGAAAGTTTGCTATGCAAATTGACACCCAACACTTTAGTTATCCAAGGTCAGTAAAAATGCTAACTTCGAAAAAAGGATGCCACGCAGCATCAATTGGTCTTGAAAAAATAGAAAGAAAAATTGTTTACCAGAAATTACTAAGTCTGAACTAGAACAGGTACTCTTAAATTCAGATAAGGCCAGATAACAAACTGGTTTTCATGGGGCTAGTATAAGGTTTTCTGCAGACTTGGTGCACTCCTCAATGCATCTTGACACTGAAAACTGAAAGAATCAAACTAAGACCCTATAATGGTATTAACAGTCCAACAGCTAACAGATAGGGCAATTTGTACCCAGTCCATGTGTTGGTCAATAGACTCGATCCAGTAAAACCAGTTTGGCCAAAAATGTACCCAAAACCAGTTCATCTTTGCAAGGTAACAGGTTGTCCATTACCCGCAAATGTTGGTTAGGACACATCGGGTCACCGATCCATTTTATGTGAAACGAATTATTATTTTAGAAAAAAAAAAGCTTCATAGAAATGTTTCCATTCTTTTTCCATAAACAAATTCTTTATATAAATTTTCTTAATCTTCTCAAAATGACCTCTCATTTATATATTAAAAAATTACATACACTAAACAATTCAAAAATTTGCAAATTTCTTTATTTAAAAAAATCACTAGAACAATATAGCAACAGAAACCTTAGTCCAGAAGTTTTCAACAGATATTATCCAAAGTTGAAATGCATGTCTACTCTTAAGATCGATATTCAACACACAAATAAAAAATAAAAAATAATCTAATTTATATGATGTGGTTTAGGTAAATACAGTTCAAAAAATTTTTGAACCCACTGACCATACCAATGGTGAAAATAACCAAAAAATAACCAAAACATAACCAAATTGCCAAAATCCAACTAAGTGCAATGCCCTGGATTCATGGACTGGCCCAAATAACTTTTGCGTGAATCTTAGGGTCAAAATGGTTAACCTAAGTTATTTGATAGCCCATCGGCCCAAGCTAATACACATATCCTCTCATCGTCTTCCCACTAATGTGTGATTAGGGGCCTCACATTCAACCCTCCTGGGATTTTTTGTGTCCTCACAACGGCCTGGTCATAATTCGGATTGTCCACTTAGTTGTGCTAGAATTCTAGAGATGGCTCATACAGGCTCTAGACGTGGTCCCCATCTGACGTGGCACTTAGCCTCACACAGTACTTAGCTCCTGCACTCCTTTGCATAGTTGGAACCATAACACACTGGCCTTGGCTCATCCAATGAACAGACCATGTGAGATTCGCTTTGATACCAACTGTAATGGCCCAGATCCACGGGCTAGCCCAAATAACTTTTGAGTGGAACCACAGGCTCAAAATGGTTAACCCCAAGATATTTGATAGCCGATGGGCCCAAGCTAATATACATGTCCTTTCCTCTTCCACCCACCAATGTGGGATTGGGGGCCTCACATGAGGTAACCAAATTTTCTGGTTTGGAATGGATAGGTTTTTCGTTTTTTGGTTCATCCGTGCTTCTTGGTGTAAGATATATAAACATGAGATATCCAATAAGAGTGGAATTATGTCATTTGTCCTCGAAGCTGCTCAAAATGGAGTTGTGACAGAAAGTAAACATATAAGTGAAAGGACGGTCAACTGTTCTAGAAAACAAAAACAGAACAAGGTAAATCATACCACCAAACTTAGCACCTCCCCCTACCCAGCCAACCCAAGGAAATAAGAAACAAAACAATGACAAAGCAAAAATAACAGAGACAGGAAAGAAAAAAGAAAAGAAAACACAGAGAACAACATGGAAAGCATGCTTCTTTTGATTAAAAGATGTTTTGTCCTTGATTCCCCAAATATATCCAGCCAACCAGAAGGCTTCATCTAAAAAGAAAAGATAATCAAATCCGTTGACCTTCAATGGCTCTAACATGTACCTGCAACTTCAGAATGCAGTAGATGTTCACCAAAAAAGAATATCACAGGTAAAGCAGAACTTTCCCTGAATGTCCAGTTTAGATATCCATCCATAACTTTAAGCAATTACTGCAGGCTTGTTTTGCAGTCATTGTTCATCAGCCAATTTGACAACATCAAAAAACAAAACATCACTTTAAAGTATGAATTTCTTCACAATTAAGTCCAAGCTGCACCAAAACCTTTCGAAAATAGGTAATCTTTGCTTCACTGAAGCCAGTCTAACCAAACAGCTCCTTCATCGAAGAATGGTAGAACCAAGATAGCTCACAAATTTGTAATTATGAATGCATGGAAAATTCAATCTCTAAACAAAATTATAGTGAATCTTCTGTTAAGAATAATAATGCTTAACTACTGTGTATAGAATTTTTTGTAGTATGTTTGTTTACAAATGTGAGGATTGTGGCAAACATACAGTTGTTCAAAGTCAACAACAGGAAAGAATTTACAAAGAGTAAACGAACAACAAAAGAATCAGAATTTCCAAACAGAGAAAGATAATCACATACTTCAACATGCTTATATAGCTCTGGAGGAGGTAATTTAATTGCATCAAGCATTTTAGGCTTTCCACATAGCTTCACTAAAGCAGCCACTTCCCTGCAAATTGCACGCACAGCATCCTGGCATTGCAAAAGGCAAGAATCTGATCATTACTATCACTATGACAAATTGCTGTTAGACAGAAGTTAACCACTGAAAGATTCTGATTGATACTATAGAGCTACGGAAACTTGTAAGTGGAACTCTAGCAACATAAAAAGGTATAGCATAAAGCAATCTTATATCATGATGAAAATTGCTGGAATGCTACAGCAACATGAGGAAGATTTTCTCACTTTTATTTCTTCCAGATCTATTGTAGCAATACAGAAAGGATGAAAACACTTTTCTCCAGTCTTTAAGCCTAAAGAAAGTTACATAGAACCAGGTAATAATACTGCTTAACATTTTCAACATTCTTTTAGAGATTCAAATACTAGTATAATGTACTAACATTCTTCATTTAGGGTCAGCTTCATTCAGTTCTTTTAGGTCATTTTTCTATACTAGAATATAATAAATTGAATGATCGTACAAATTCAGGAGTAGGACCATACTAGGTCACCCTTTGAGCCATCCACATCAAGTAATTGTCCCTTTGATACCACCTTCAGTAATGAAGGGTCTAAGTGTAGAAATAATCAATGACAAATGCAATTATCTAGCTTTGGGTGGACCATCAGGGTGATGAGGCTCAAGAGAACAGTAAACTTCCTTTATCCCACTATAATGTCACTCTTGGTCAAAAGAACTCATTTTGTAATTAACATTTCTTATCAATATACAGATTCTTTGCAAAAATTATAAAGTTACCACCTGGAAAGTTAAATTCCAAAGCAATTTAGAAATATGGAAGTAAATTCTTAAAATTTGACAGTTTGACCAAAAGAGACTATGATGTGCAACCAGAAAAAAGAAAGGAAAGCAAACAACGGCGTAACATGTTAAAAGTTTAAAAAAATTAAAAAAAAAAACTCAATCCGAATGGATATACGTTCATACAAAACAAAGAACATAATGCATGCTCCAAAACTACCAATAAAAAGTTAGTGTACGAAGAAGAAAACATGTAAACTACAGAACTTTAACTGTCATTGATTGTTTCACAAAAAAAGGTAAACAATAACCAATAAAAATATTTGAGAAAATTTATCCAAAAAAATTGACTATATGTGTACAATTTAGCACATGAGATAAAATTAATTTGTTAAACATAAAGTGCTATAACATAACTTTTTTAATCAAATAAAACAAAAGAATTAACATTAACTTGTTTGACCACCTTTCGAAAAATTAATTGCTAGAACTTGAAGATGGAAAGTTGTACACAAATTCAATGGTCACGTTTTGACTTTTTAGTTTCATTGGTAAAAAAGAGAAAAAGAGAAAAAGGAGGGAACAATGAGGTATTGCTCAATCTATACGTGGGGCAAAATTCTCATTTTTTAATGATACTCCATAATTTATATGTAAAGTATGTGAAGGCACACTATTCATACTTAAAAGGAAATTATTCAAGATTCTTAGGCAGGCCTGCCTCCCCATGTCCCCAATGGCCTACACCCCCAATGGTCTGCCATTCACATGTTGCTTCAAAGTAACCAATAAGCTCAGGAGTTTGATACACAAAGTCTCGAACATCTTCTCTACTTATGCAGGAACAACAGCTAACCTTCCCAAACACTTGCAATTGGATATTTTGAACTTTAAAGCAATACAAACAGTAAAACCAAAAGAAATGTCTTCAGATAAATAAATATTAACCAAGTATTAAACAATTAAGCAGCATTTTACAATAAACAACCTGCCCAATTTGTACTGCATTAAGCAACCTCTCTTCAGTAAGAAAATCACAATAACCCTGTGAGATCAAACATAAAAGATCCCATAATCAGTAAAACACAACACAGTAAACATGCAAAATCTTGCATAACTTGCTAACACAGATACAAGGTGTTAAACTAATTCCTATACCAGATCTCTTGATTTTAAAGAAAATAAACATAGTTCTTGGATCCTTAGTTTCTAGAATTTCTGGATCATGCATTATTTTGCACCTTTCATACAACTTCTGGTTCTTAAATTTTGAACTTTCCACATGTAAAGTTAAGTAGAAAAGTGAGTTCGGAAAAAGTTAATAAAATGTGTAAGACAGATTGCCTAATATTTATGCAATAAAAGATCGTGGGTTCATCAAAATTAAATAATTCCCACTGCAGGAGGCAGGGCTTTTGTCAAATATAAACAGATTTAGTTCTGGGTCTATGACCATTACCCAGAAGTACTATTCAATGCAAAAAAGAGGTGCAAATGGTACGCAATTGAATCAACTACAGATTTAGGGCTTAAAGACAAAGTTGCATCACAACAGCAACCTTACCACCTTCATTTCAGATTGCCAAATTAGTGAAGTCAATACAGTGCATTTAAGCTTGCATCTCACAGGAAAATGCACGAAGAGCATGGCACTGGAAAAAGCACTCAAATAAAGGGATTTTCAGTTCTTCTCCACAAAACATTGAATTTTGATTGCCAATTAAGCGATGATTGATAGATCACTCATTTAGTCAAACATCGCTCCCAGAAAAATGCTCAAACTTCTGAAAATTTGTGAATTAAGACCTTGACATGCAATTTTATGTTCTAGTTCAGATGATAAATCACCAAGATGTTTGTTTAACCACTATACAGCATTAGATGTAGCTATCAGTATCTTGTATCCAGATTTTGGAAGGAGATACATATGCATTATTTGGTATTAGGAATGTAGTTTCTTTCGATATACCAGCTCAGCAGCCAAAATTGCTTCACGAGCTTTGACATACCAGAAGTTTGAGACCAATAACATGCAACTGACACCTACAGTTTTGCATCTAGCTGCCCAGAAAACAGTGGCATACACATGTTTTGGTGGAGACAGAGATAGAGAAAGAGAGAGGGAGGGAGGGAGGGAGGGAGATAGAGCAAAACATAAACAAGGCATAAGATAATTCAGCACTTGAATTTTCATGGCAAAATGGGATGAACCAGGCAATACATTACCCATTTATCTGCTTAAGAAACTCAAATTAATTTGTAACCCAGGACCTTATCTGCAATTAAGAGCTGCAAAAGCTTGTTTCTATGTGTAAGAGTGAAAATTGAACCTCAATCATTAATATTGCAGTCTCCGTGCCTGCCAGCAACAGATCCAACTTAGACTTTTCCATCTCCTTCGTTGTAGGGTTCACAATGAACCGGTCACCAATCAGACCAACTCGAACGCCAGCAATAGGTTCGGAATTTGGCACTTCTGATAGTGCTCTGTATTGTTTAGATAATCAAGGGAAATTATTTATATTCACCATGAAACCAGTACAACTAGCAGAAGCAAGAACTGCAAGACTAGCTTAGCTTACACAGCAATTCCAGCAGCTGTAACAGCCAAAGAATCTGGAGGATGCAAACCATCATAGCTTAGTACCTGCAAGTCCATCCCAAGGTAGTAATACGAAAGCCATGTTAAGAACATCAAGCATCACAACTGTTAGAAACTGTAAAGAAAACATGCACAGTCTGCAACACCTTACCCAGGACAATATTTGAGTTTCATGATAGAAGCCTTTAACCATTGTCGGACGTAAAGGCCTATCTATCAATCTACAAATAAGTACCTGCAAACTTTAATAGTTGTCAAAGCCTAAAACTGGATAACACTTTATACAAATAAAACTCTAAACCACTCCAAGTTTGCTGAAGCTAGATTCTAGGAACAGACACATAATTTGCTAAAAGACAATTGTTGGTACATATAGGAGAACATATGGAGACAGTGAAAGGTACCTCATGATCTTTTGTCCTTCCTTCTCGCTTAAAAAACCCTCCACTAAAATTGTTAGAATTAAGATGATCAATCCCCTTCCATATAAATTAAAAGATAAATTGTACAAACACATCTTATATCTTATAATAAGAAAAATGGTAACCGAGAGGAGAAGGGGAAAAAAAGCATACGCTTTACCTTGTTCGACCAGCAGCTGAAAAGCGTTCTTGATAATTTACAGATAGGGGGAAAAAATCTGAAGGCTCACTTGGAATATCATCCAGAGAAACAGTTGTGTATAGAATCTACAAGAAAATGAACAAATTAATTTTCTTTCAAAAACACAAAGATCATATGAAAATTAAGCAAGCTTCAACATCCAGCATCATCTCCAAGCTTAAAAGATACATGACAAATCAGCAAACAGTATCAAAGACTTGATAAAATCAGATATGGCATTTAATTGGACCATTTTTCAAAGCTCCAACAAAACTTCAAGAACTAATAAGAAGACTCAGCATTCAACAGGCAATCAGGCAATGCACTTTAAAATTCCTAAAAGGCATTCCACATTCAACTGGACTATGAAGTAAAACAAATATGAAAGAAAATGACTTTGGCCCCCATTACCAAAATTTTAGTGTAAACATATTAGGGCATGTAAATATTATCAGAGAGAACATAGCATAGCATGTGAAACTTTTCCGTGCCTCGAGCTCGGGCTCAGACCTGAATTTGACAAGAGTTAAGCTAGGCCAACTTGCACACCAATTAGTACACCGATCAAAGATGCAGATGCCACAACTTTTCAAAGCCCAAGACAGAAGTACAAAATGCTCAAGTGATGTTATTAGGAACCTGATAAGTTTATTAACTGAATAACAAATGCTGGATAAATATGTCACTAAAATCACCCCCTATTATGTCCAATCCAATCAACTGAAAACCCAGGATCAGACCAAGCCACGTAGGATTCTATCGTTTCCACAGGTGCCTCCCACCCTTCAAGCATAGCAATTACTTCTACAAATTTTGACTAGGAAACCGCTATGATACCAACTTATTGATCCAAACTGCTTAAATCCATTTGTTCAGAGGCTGCACAGGTTGAAAGTCTTGAATCCGATGTTATTGGTATTGTACTTGCTGGTTGAGTGAAAGTGGGACTTGGTAGAATTATATGGTACCCTTCATTTCTGATAATTTAATTCTCTTGTCAATTCATTCATGCCCTCAAGCAAGGGTCTCTCATCCATTCAAAGAGATTTCCTAAACTTCAACCGTACTTGATCTCAATGCCTCACCTTCCTCCCTTGAATGCAACTAGGCAAACCGAACTAACAGCCGTTGGTCAGATCTAGGATAGATTGTACATGGACGGTTGTTGAAGTCAGCTATTTTCTGGTTTGGTGCATTGTGGAAGCCAAAGGAGTCAGGTCGGCGAAGGCTTTTTTTTTTATTATCTCTTGGAGAACAGCACTTGCTGTAATCTTTCTCGTTTAATAGCTTCTACATTCCTTCCTTTACAAAGAAAGTTGTTTTAAAGCCACTAAGTGCACCTTCTCTGATGCCATTGACCATACAGGATCACTGAATCTTCTTCAACATCTTCTCATTCCCATTGAATTAATGCCTTTGACTTAGCTCATAGTGCCTATAAGGTCTTATATCACTCAAACATCACGTATACTGATCTGGGATACTTGGGTGTCAAACTAGGGAACTTCATCACTTGTTACATCTTTCCTTCCTCCAACTCTTTTCACTCCCTTCTCTCCCTCTTTTACTTTAATTTCATGTTGCATCATGTTTCGCTGACAACATTTAAAGCTTATTTTGCTGCCATCCTTTAACCAATTATTACACTATACCAAAACGTCCACTATTTAGGGTCTTTGAAGCCTCCAGCAAGAAATATATCTTGGAAAGGAGGATACAAGATTGACTGAAAACAACATACTAGTGTGGACAACAGTACATCCCCCAGATTAACACAATTTTCTCAAATGTCATGCTAATTTTTTTCATTTTGAACCCTAAACCCCATATTACCTTTAAATCAACATAGGCAACCAACATATTTTCCAGACCAAAGCCAAGCAGAAGTTCATTATCTGCCAAGTTTAATCAGAAACAACAGACATTAATTTATTCTTCATCACATGTATATGATAAGGATGTACTCAAAATGCTTCACATCTTTTTCTTCCATGCCACAATTCCACCAAGTGCAACTGTCATTTATCATCAAATGCATGACCTAGTAGGGAGGGGAAAAAAAGGAAAAGGATATAGAGACTGCGATGGCTAATTCAGGCCTAATTGTAAAACATATATTAGTATTTTAGATAGAGGATTTCATATCTTTTACCACTTATAGTTGTGAAGCTTTAGAAAATACCATATTAACTCCAAATCTCTGCATGAACAAGCAACCACAAATTTGTCAAAATGAAATACTTAATAAATTAGGAAGGGAGAGAGGGGGAGAGAGACAGACAGACAGACAGACAGACAAAGAGTGAGAGAGAGGGAGAAAAAGACAGAGATAGAGTCAAAGACAGACACAGAATGAGAGAGTAACAGACAGACAGACTCGTGGAGATCAGAGAAGGGTCCTACTCTGGAAATGATAACTACATTTTGCTCTATGTAGTTAGGTCCTATGTGACTCTACAGACAGTAACTATCACAATGAGAAAGCTAAGCATATGAAAGTTCAACAAAAAGAATATATATCAAGGCAGTCACAAACTCATCAATTACATAAGCTAGCTCACCTTTAATAAATAGGATAGCTAAGAAAAACAACAATACATTTGTTACAACTATTTAAAGGGAAGAAATTATTGATGAACTTTGTCCCTTAAGGTACCAGCTCAATCAAGACAGAGAGATCAAGCAAGCCTGTATACAACCAAACCAGCAAAAGTATACATACAGTTTCTCCATCTGTCAGCGTGACAGCACCACTTGCTTGCCTTCCTATGTGACCTGTTTCAATCAATATCTGCAAAATCAAACCATAAACTCAATAGTTCCCAACAATCGGAAAAAGCATCAACTCGATGTTTATTCACTCTAAATTACCAACAAAAAAGAGGAATATTTACTTTAATAGACAATGTTTCATTCCAGGTTTCACATGATTAGTGATTCTTCTTGAGAGAAATTGCAGGGGAATGGTCCATTCCATCAAGTAAAAACTAGAGAAATTTGCACTCTGATTGTTGTCAGGTCGCACTGCCTGAGCAACTACCACTCCTTTCACAACATTTAATGCTATTAAACAACTACGCGTATTATATTTCATTCACTATTTATATGATCATATGTGCTAGAATCAGTAAGTTACTTCAATGGTATTTTATATCTAATTGCATAATCAATAATAACAGGTAAGTTGCTATAAATTTTTCTTCAGTGTTTCTGAACCTTGGACTCTCATGCAGTAGAATTTTACTGAATTTGTTGTTGGTGTAAAGAAAAAAATACATGCCCACGTCATTGATACCACAATTATGTGAAAGCATTTTATGTAAAGGATATTTGGATTCATTATTATTCAAGAATTGGGAACCTACTCAGTTCACTTGCCCACTAATATATATTTCTGATTTCGCTCCTGAGTACTTCTAAGACACTCATAACACAAAATGTTTTGTCAATCCCCCATAAAGTGCCATTTTGGTAGGTAGTACAATCCATGTTGAATTTTGTTCCTCATGGTCTTGCAACTGTCACCCATTTGAGTTGCAAGCATAGGAAACTTTGCATGCCAAACTTTTTTAACTCCCAAGGAGAATCTTTGTTAGGATTTCAAACTTCTATTATCATAAGAAACTCTTCGGAAAGGCAATTCAATTCTGCATATAATTTGCAATAGAAAAACAAATAATGACAGATACTAATCTACATATATCTCTCACACATGCCAGATCTAATATATTCTTTCGTAAGACTCTCAAGAAGCCATGAAATTTTAATTTCTCTCTAAACTGTGTCTCCCATTTCTCCTTGTCAAAAAATCATCTGAAAAATAGCTGCTTCACATTCCAACCATGCTGCAGTACACAAATAATTAAAACCAAAAGAACATTCATTTGAAAACTTTGCCATCTCCTCAGTTCTCACCAATTACATCTTAAAACAGCCTTAAACATCATCATACAACACATCTTTGAGAAAGAACCTAGGTTCTCTAAAACAGCATGAGACAATTATAAAAGCATCAAGGTCCATGCTGCTTGGAGTTTAGAGCAAAATACAATACCTCAGGACACCTCATGACTTACAGATACATATTCAATCTAGTAATACAATTCATGGACAATTCCTTTTTCTTCTTGAAAGAAGCCTTAGAAGAAAATTTTCTATAAAGATAGCATTTGTTTCCTTTAAAATAATTATCTCTGGAAATGATACTTTTCATTTTTATCCTTTTTATCATATTACTAATCTATGGCAAGAATAAAACGGGTGGTGCAAATAAAAAGTGTTAGGATCAAAACCTGGCATAATGCCTTGCAAAAGAGTTGCTCTGCTACTAGAACTAGAGCCTGCTCTTAGGAAATGAAAGTCTGAACCAGCCAAACCATATCTTTAATAAAAAAAAAAAAAAGGACAAGAAATGCTGAACCGATGACCAAGAATTCATTCTATCTATTTCAGTTTATCCAATATCTTTGTGCATTATTGCTTATCAAGCGATAAACAAACACCGTCCAGCATATAAGTCCAGGAAAACCAGCATATCAACAGGCTGTAATTTCAAACTATTTATCATGTAAAGGGTATCTGTGCTGATTACAGTATAACAATGTACTTTTTTTGTGATGAATTTTCCCAAAGAATTTTATCAGAAACTGCAACCTGCCTGTTTATCTAGCAATTGTAAGTAGTATGGACCGAGCATTTAAACACCATTGTACCTCAAGCAGAAACAATTGTACATCACAATATTAGCATTTCAACACACAATACTAGAACGAATTAAAGAAGAAAAATAGACAGAGAGACTTGCATGTCGGTTGCCCACGGGGATTTTCACGGAGTAAGGCGCCGCGCCGCCACCTCTGGAGTCCAAACAAGCTGCAATCCATAACCTACCACTAGAATTTCCTCCCTTTCTTCTTTTTCTTGAACTTAGTAAGTGAAGCGGGAAAAAATGAGGATTTTTAGAGTGAGTTTGAAGAGAACGAGCAGAAGAAGAAGCACATGAGGAGAGAAGAAGCTTGTATTTAGTCGAGGCTGCGAATTGTGGCGAAGATAAGCCATGGTAAAGAGGACAAGAAGCTAACATTTCTGAAGAAGTCTGCTGCCGCCGACGCCTCCGGCCGGACGGCTATCTCCGGCTGTGGGTTTGTTTGAGAGAGGGAGAAACCGGACAAACTTATCCGTTTTCGCAAAGTATGGCCATGTTGTCATAGATGCAGGGTTTTAATTTTGATTACTTTTTTATTAAGTGAATTGCACATTGTACCCTTGAACTTTAGGTGTAGTCACAACTTTACCCCTGAAACAACAAATATATCTATCTTTAATTCTTTATATTTATAAACCAACTCCCAATAGAGGAGTTGGCCACCACTGTATGTAGTGGGGTGGGAGGTCAAGGGTTCAAATCTTGCCTCCCATCAATGTGCCTCAATATGAGGAGTTCTAAATCCATGCTGGTGAGTGGTGCACCCGTCTGGTCAGATGATGGTTAAATCCCTGATAATTGTATAGTAATAAAGTTTAATTTAATCTTCTAAATAATTGTATAGTAATTTAGCACTATTACAAAAGAATAAGTGTCAAGTTTTTTATACCCATATTTGTTATTTGATAATCAATTACAAGAATAGGCTACTTTTAATAGTGCTTTATTGGAGATAGAGTTTATTTTTCCAACAAAGAAGAGGTAAGACTCAAGAAGGGAAGGAGGTAAAAAGATTTGAACCCAGAACCTCTGATGCTTAGGATTTCAGTCTTAGCCAAAGATTCTTTTTAAAATGGAGAAAAAAGTGTCACCATAATTTTTTGAAAAGTTTGTGAATTAGTTAAGTGGTGGAACTACTACAATTTAGTAATGATTTTGGACCATTTTATTTTTTAGTTATTATTAATTTATTGTCGATTTTGATACCCAAAAAAATAAATAAATAATTTGCAAAAAAATTAGAAGATATTCAAATTTATCAAAAAAAATATTACTAGTTCGACATTTAATCATGATGGAGGCTAGGGATTGATGATACTGAGATTTTGCTGACAAAATATAAGAGTAATGAATAAAATGAGAAATTATAAAATGAATTATAAAACCCATCCTTTGTATAAATATAGCAAAATAGCAAATAAAGGAGTTTCATTAGAATGTTAAGGTTAATATTGTTATTTTAATATCGCCACTGCTCTTTCTCCTCCGTCTCTCTCTAATGTTGCCGCCGCTGGCTGCCTCAACTTCTCCTCTTTTTTTCCTCTCTCTCTCTCTCTCTCTCTCTCTCATCATCCTCCTCTTCTTCTCTCTTCCCTTCTCCCCTTCCCCCACCACCCTATCTCTCCCCCCTCACCACTTCCCCCTCCACCACCCTTGCAACAGCGGGTCATGCAATTTAATAGTTTGGGTTAGTGGTTTGTGCAACTACTTATGGTCAAAACTATTAATATCCGCTATGATAATGTACAAAAATCTGTACTGTTTTTACTTTTTTGTTACAGACGCTTCAAAATTTGTCCATATTTTTTAGTGAACTACTTATGTGTTTTGCTCAATAATGGATGCTATCTAAATTTGGCAATGGAAACCTAGACGTTTAAGAATAGTTTAAGAACGTGTGGATTGGGTAGACGACGCCACAATCAAGGTAACTACTTGACTAGCCAAAACTAAACTACTTAATTACCCAAATTAATGAACTAATTAAGGTCCAACTTAAACAAAAACTAGTCGATTTATTCAACTAACCTAAAGGGCCCAAACGAACCCAATAAATTTGTTTTGTTTTTCTCCTTACTATCTCTATTATTGTGTCTTTTTCTCTTTAGTAGGAATACTATTACATTAATTTTATATGTTCTTTCTTTTTGTTCTGAGACAATGTGCTCTTCTTTGGTATATTCTCCATGTTTATTCTTCTCTTTTATGAAGTGCCTACAATGCTAAAACCTCTGTGTTTATAACTTAAATAATATATTTTTGCATCTTATAGTTTCATGCATCTTGGTGGCTACTTTCTTTTGTAACATAGATTTGAAAAAATGACTTAATGTGTTATCTAACTCCAAATATTGTACCATTGGATTTTATTACCACTACAAGAAAAATTGCCTTCACTGGCACCCATATGTTGGCACTTTTCTTGAAGTGCTTGTAAAAAATTGCTTAAATGGCACTTGCTATTTTGCTTCAATTTGGTAGTAAACAAAACTACATTGTTTTAAGGAGATTAGGCAATTCCTACCACGTGTTGCATGGTAGTAGGAGATTTGTGCCCACCCATTTGCATAAAAATTGTATGCCATATTGCTATAGTTGATATATCAAGATTAGTAATATAATTTTACAAATAAGAAAGGACAAGAAAATTCTTAGTAATATTCAATCTTGTAGGATACATTGTTATTTTCATATATGCAAAATTTGTATAATAATACATCTGGTTAATAATTTATTTATGGTTTATGTTGTTAATATGCATAATAAAGACAAAAGATTGGCAGTATGAATTAGTAAAATGTGGAAGTCAAAATTTAGCTATTGGTGAAAGTGCAATCTATAACCAAATAAAGTTAGATAGCTGATGTTGCAGTGGTAAGGTAGTAAGCAATCCATTACATTTTTTAGACATTAAGAAAATGGAAATTTTCTTGAGACTCTTGAGAGTAAACTTAGCCAGTGGGATATTAAGATAAAATGGGATTTAAGGACACCTAGTATGAATTCAAACTTAGTGTTTTCACTCTTAAACTCCCTTAATTTCTATCCCCTAGGGTTTTCACCTCTATAAATGTTCACATTAGTCTTGTACTACCATGCTTGAAACTCTCATCTAGTTTTAAGGTTTGGAAAGCATCAACAATGAATCCTACTAGACTTGAAACTTCGAATGGAGATTTGTCAGCAATTACTTTCATGGTGAGGAGGCATGAATCTGTGATCGAAAAGTGGGCAAATACTTTCTCACAGTCTTCAAAATACAAAATAGGTGATTAACATTAAATCATTGGAAAATCAATGTTTTCAGACTTGGACCGGGAGTCGACTCGGCCGAGATCAGAGGTCAGGGGTCAATGGGTTCGACCGGGGGTCGAACCGGATAACGTCATAAATACGTCATATATAAATATATATATATATATATATATATATATATATATATATATATATCCATACAAATCAAGTTTACAAAATATAACCAAAGAGTCCAATCATCCAAATTTATATCTAATTCACCAAAAAATTCACTAAATTCAGCCAAACTCACAAAATTTACAAAGTAGAAATCCAATACATATTTAATCCTTAACAAATAGCAATTCGCAGAAGATAACAAGTTCATGTTCAATCCTTGATAAATATCAATTCAAATAAAACAACATGTTTAATTTCTAGAGTAAAGAATTATCTAAGCCATTCTTCATCTTCATCTTCATCATTCTTATCTCCAATTTCATAACTTTCCAAGTTGATATCATCAAGATCATTCTCATCATCAAGTTGCACAATATTTGTGTCTTTCTTACCTAGAAATAATTTAAATACTCATAAATAAAAATATTAAAAAATAGACAAGAACTAAAAAGAAACTTAGATAAAATTAGCATTTCCCGGGTCTCTAGTGAGTTACAAACAGTGTTCGAAAAGATCAAATCTTTGATAATTCCATCATCTATGATTGAGTTGCGAAAACTTCTGGATAGGTATCCTACATCTGAACCAAATTCTTTTTGGTTAAAGAATATCTTTCTAGCTGCTCTGAAACAATTAGGAGATTCTCTAGAAGAAATATGGGGTTCTGCTTCTAGCGGCAACATGCTTGGTCCCGCTTATGGGGTCAAATCAATACGTTCTAAGAAAAAATATTTGAATATCAATCTCATCAATATCGTCGATCTCATACCAAATCCCATCAATCGAATCACTTTTTCGAGAAATACGAGACATCTAAGTCATACAAGTAAAGAGATCTATTCATTGATAAGAAAAAGAAAAAACGTGAACGGGGATTGGATTGATGATAAAATAGAATCCTGGGTCGCGAACAGTGATTCGATTGGTGATGAAGAAAGAGAATTCTTGGTTCAGTTCTCCACCTTAACGACAGAAAAGGGGATTGATACCGGAGGGGTTTGAATTAGCTCCCCCCGATCGTATTTCTCCCGAGATTAAAGAAAAGATAGGCAATTTGTCTTTTCAGAGCTATTGCCCTAATAAAAAAAATATTCTTGTGATAGGACCTATCCCCGGTCAGAAATTCTTGGGAAATTCTTCTTCAATCATTTCTTCTAACTCATCATAATCAAGCTCTCCTTCTTGTTCCTCATCAACTATCCAAAATTCAACTTTATTAATAGTTTCATAATCCACCAGATCATAAGATCTCTTTTTATATGAAAGTCTACAATGAAAAAAAGATGAAAAATTAGAAGTAAGAAATTTTTAAAAATTAATAAATTTACAAAAGAAAGTAAGAATGGGTAATAGTAATTTCATACCTATGCTTCAAATGTAAATTATAATGAATGTAAACAAGATCATTCAACCTTTGATGCTCAAGTCTATTTCTCTTTTTGGTATGGATGCGTTCAAATACACTCCAATTACGTTCACATCCCAAAGAAGAAGAAGTTTGACTCAAGAGTTTAATTGCCAACTTCTGTAAATATGGAGCATCATTACCAAATAATCTCCACCACTCATCTATATTAGTAAAACACAATTAGTACTCTTTTTAAAGAAAAACAACAAAAATAATTCTTATCAATTAATGTAATAAATGTAAAATTAAAAATAGGCATACCTGGACGGGCAGTCTTGTAAGTATTTTGGGCAAATTGAAATCCAAAACTTTGGTTTTTTGACCTAAACATTGATATTTCATCCATCATGTATTAAAGTCCATCCATTTTCAACTTTTGCATGACTTCTAAAACACTTTTCATGATCTCAGGCATGTGATAAGGGTTGTCTCTATCATATTGGAAGGCCGGATTCAACCAAAACGCAGCCGCATGAAAATCTTTTTTCAACATATTATCCCATCTCCTATCTATTATATCAATGTATCGGCTGTAAATTTTTTTTTTGTTCTTAAACAACTCTTTAATGCCACTAACAACTCTCCACATGCCTTCATATACATAACCCAATGAAGGTTTTTCATCGGAATCACAAGCACATAATTGGACCCATAATTCTTACAG